ATCTGGTTAAATAAAGGTTAAATAAAAAATGTTTGTTACAAAGGGCACCATTCATATTTTCCAGTTGTACTTGAATTCCAGACTTTTAAAAATGCAAATGAGTAAAAACAACCAAACATGTCTATGTGATTTGTTGAGTCTGTTGAGTCATATTGTTAGAGATGGCTGTTGCTGAAGGATAGAAAATGACTGCAGACATGCTCAAAGGGGAGAAAGAAAAATAACTGTGATTTTGTCTTTTAAACAAAAGACTGTGCTGAGAATCATACAGTATAGGACACTGACTCATCTTGCACCTAATAAAAATATAACTACAGCAGCAGGCATCACAGATGCCTTGCAGTAAGGGTTAGGTTTTGACATTGGCAGTAGAGGGGTTAGGGCTACTCCACAGGCTACTTGGCACCTATTACAAGAGAGTGACTCAGTGTGTGGTAGCATCACAGGAAATAATTTCTATTTGCTTTACTCAGAAATGTCATTGCCCTTCATCTGCATCATCTTACTGAAGTGGCTCTGACTTAACTTACTCATCCAGCTGTGGTTTCTTGATGACTGGCTATAGTTTATTTTATATTTTCCTTGCTATTGCATGACCAACACAAATTACCATAATCTGTTGACCAGCCTGACACTAGTGCTGTTACCTTTTTATGTCCTCCCCCCTCATATGCCTCACAGTGGTTCTGTCCGCTGCCTACATTTTCAGACCCTCAGTGACTTTATTTCTAAAAATCTCCTGCTGGAAGATGTTTTTATTGTCCCAACCAACAGTGACATGACATATCTTACTGATGTTGAATGAGATACCTACTGTCAATTTGCATAATATGTATATTATATCTAAAATTGTACGCTTGTATCAGCTTTGCATCTGCCAACTTTAGTTCTCTCACTGAAGAACCCTTCAGTTTCCTACATTTAAAGTATCAACTAATTCCAGTACACAGCTCAATATTTATTCATTTATTTCTACTGTAACTATGATTTGTTGAACTCAATGTCATGACTGACAACAGGAACGTGACAGTACACTGAACCTACCACTTGAAGGCAGTGTTGAAGAAGCTATGGCCTGGTGACAGAAGACCTGAGGCTTCCTTTCTTTTCAGACAGCATGTTGTCCACCCATCATATGTTTAGCTGCATCTCCCTAAAAGCTGTTAAATCTTTTCTAGGAGGCCATTGCATTTCAGCTGACATACTTGAGTAAACAAAAATGAATTCATGTGACCTGATGATGCTGGTCTGTAGATGGGGCCTGCCTGATTTAAATCAGTTTAAATGCACTGCACAAATTACATTATAAATATGTATACATATATATCTGTGTGTCTATTTCTCTATCCATATTTACATGTCCATTTCTAAGTCTGCACAAGCGCATGATCAGTGATCACGGATTTGGTTTTGTTTCAGCCAGTGTTTAACCTTTTCATTAAATATTTTCAGATTAGTTTGTGTTTTTATTTCAGTTGATAGGGCATTCCAAAAATATAGCCCTTTTACAGAGAAAGATGAGGGACCGACAGTGGTTTTGCGCTGTGCCACCTTGCAGTTGCCATTTGCAGATCCCCTCGTGGTGATTCTATTAGTATTTTTTTTGACTGTGAAGATTCTCAGTCATCCAGGTCATAGTTATCCAATGAAGGTTAAAGTCAAGGGCAACTGGACTTGGTTGAAGATACTGGAAGACGTTTTGTCCCTCATCCAAAGGACTTCTTCAATTCTGGTAGGGAAACTCAGCTAGGAAAATTGCAGACCACAGAAACCATCTACGATTTAACCTGAGATGTGATGACAACACAAAATTATTCCCAACAGCCTACACTTAGGCTCCACGGTGAGAGGACACAGAGACGGAATAATCCTGGAGAAAGGAAAACACCAGCTACTGAATGAGAGAGTGAGACGGATACATTTAACCATTGAAGCCCTGAACAAAGAATTGGACAACTTACACCACAAACTAGAAACATATCTGCCAAGTACAGTACAGGAAAAGGTCATGGATTTCATCAAGAAAGAACAACTATCTCAGCGCAACAAGAGCAAAGAAAGACAGACCCGAAAATTCCAAAACCTACAGTCCAGAGCAAGCTGCACTAACAAAACAGGAGAATTGTCTTGGACCTCACCATTGAAGAAAGGAAGGCTGTGACATCACTGAGCAAGGATAAAAACATCACTATCCTACCTGCTGACAAAGGAAGATGCACGGTAGTCCTTAACACAGCGGACTACCAGAACAAGGTCAACACACTACTACTGGACACAAACACATATGAGACACTGAGACGAGACCCAACCCATTCCATGCATTTATGGACTACCCAAGATACACAAAGAAGGAGCCCCACTCAGGCCGATTATCAGCAGCATTAACTCGGTCACCTACAACATTGCCAAAAACATTTCTACCATCTTAGCTCCTTTGGTGGGAAACACGCCTCACCACATCCAAAACTCCATTGACATTGTAAACAAAATTCGAGGACTAAAACTGGACCCCGATGAAACCATGGTATCCTATGACGTGACTTCTTTGTTCACCTGCATCCCCACCATAGAGGCAGTAGAAACCGTAAGGAAACGGCTAACACAAGACAACAGAACTAGCCTCATGCCTGACCAGATCTGTAAATTACTCGACCTCTGTCTAAACACCACCTACTTCCAGTACAACGGAGGATTCTACAGACAGAAGCATGGCTGTGCCATGGGCTCACCGGTATCCCCGATTGTGGCCAACATCTACCTGGAAGAAGTGGAGAATAAAGCCCTCAACTCCTTCAGAGGAATAGCACCGAGCCACTGGTACAGATATGTGGACGACACCTGGGTCAAAATTAAAAGCCAGGAAGTGCAAGCCTTCACAGAACACATCAATTCTGTGGACAGTAATATCAAGTTCACACGAGAAGATGTTCACAACAACAGTTTGGCCTTCCTGGACTGCGCTGTACACATTGAAGAGGACAGGAGCCTGCAGATTGGTGTTTACAGAAAACCCACACATTACAGACCAATACCTACTCTTCGATTCACACCACCCACTGGAGCACAAGCTAGGGGTCATGAGAACACTGCACCACAGAGCGGAAAACATACCAACAAGCGCCCAAGCCAGAGAGAAGAAACAGAAACACCTGAAGGGGGCACTTACAGCCTGTGGATACCCTAAATGGACCTTTGTGAAAACAACCACAAGATCCAAGAAGAACAAAACTACAGGGGAGGAGGAAAAGAAGGTCAAACGCAACAACATTGTGATTCCGTACGTGTCTGGAGTATCAGAGAAACTCAGGAGGATTTTCAACAAACACAACATCCCTGTATTTTTAAACCCAAGAACACACTAAGACAGATGCTGGTACACCCCAAAGACCGCACACCAAAACACAAGAAAAGCAATCTAGTGTATGCGGTCCAATGCAGTGAGGAATGCACAGACCTGTATATTGGGGAGACTAAACAACCACTACACAAACGCATGGCTCAACACAGAAGGGCCAACTTCTCAGGTCAAGACTGTACATGTTAGACAGAGAAGATGGATGGTTTGAAAGAGGTGTCAAGGAACCCATCTACACCAGGGTTGAGAAGCCATCGCTGAACAGAGGAGGGGGTCTACGCCACCACTTATCCCCCACTTACAATGCGGTCCTTTCATCACTTCCCAGGAAACTCAACAAATGTAACCTATTGGCCTCAGTTGAGGATGCCAACAATGGTCGTTCAGTCTTGGCCTCGGGTAGTCCTAATGACCATAATGACTGTTGTTATGCCAGCCAGGAACACTAAGGAACCAGCAGCATCAACGATCCTGGCAAACAACCCCACTGAGGTTAAATAGCTGAGTTTCCCTACCAGTCAGTCAGAACTGAAGAAGTCCTTTGGATGAGGGACTAAACATCTTCCAGTATCTTCAACCAAGTATTATACAATGATGCCATTTCATTTGTTTTTGAACTATTATTTTCTGTGATTGTTTATATAGTGATACAATGGGTTTGTATCAGAACAGTTGACTGTGAAGCCTGGCTCCATACAGTAAAATAAGAAAGATGTGAAAATATCAAGACATGCATTAACAGTTGAGCTGCCTTGGGGGGTATGTCATATCTAATCATTCTAAAACAGTTCAAAGTCTTTACAGTTTTACATAGTTTTTTAACATATTTATCAAATTTAAGTCCATAGTCCAAAATGACACCTAGGAATTTAAAATCATTAACGTCCTCTATTTCCTCTTGATTTATTTTATTTAGTAGCTTACCTTTTGCTTTCTTTCTTATGGAAAAAACACATCGACACCGTCAGTTAATTTGAGAATGTCTGAGATATGATCTGAAAAACTTAATGTCTAAGTATGAAAACAGGGAAAAGTTTGTGAGAAGAGGTTGAAGATGAGTGTTTGAAGGATTTTCTAATTGACTTCCATTATAATGATGTTTCAAGTAATGCTGAATATTTAAAATATTTTAATGGGATTTGTAAGTAGGAAAGATGTGGAACATTTTGATATTTGATTGGAGGTTCTAGCTGAAAGTATGAATGAATGGATAACAGTTTGAATAGCATGAAAGTGTTAAAATTGAGAAATTTTTAACATTCCGTCCATGGAAAAATAGAAGCAATAATGTCCTAACTGGGCTGAATATTTTAATATTTAAAAGAAGTTTTTACTTGAAAAAAAGTGGGACTAGACAAGTGGGTGGAATAATAAAAATAAAGAATTCTGTGCACAGAAGAACATATGTTGTGAGTATTCAGACCAATTTCATACTTTCAAATGTTCCCTCATCTTTTCATTTGGGTCCATTGGATTTGCATTAGCCATTTGAGATGAATTTAAACTACGTGTGGTCGTTCTTGAGCCACGGAAGGCCACGACTGTACACTGTTTCTGTGGAGAACATGCCAGGGCGCTCAGGAACTCAGTTTATTGCTTGTCCTTCTGGACGCAAGTGGCGCTGTGGGAAAGGATGCTGGTGAAATCACAACACGAAGAAGAACCGGGGAGCAAGAAGCAATAACAAACATCGGCAGCAAGCTAACGCAACTTTAGGAGACAGAGCATACAGGAAAAGTGTCTCCTTAACAGTAGACAAACCTAGTATCGCTCTTTATACGACTAACCGTGTATGAGACGATGTACACAAACTACAAAGAAAACATCTAGTAATCTGTCACGGAGAAGAGTTGACGTAACTGGTATGTAAGAGGCAACACTAGCCAAACGTTAGCTAACGTTAATCCGCCCTGTCTTTGTTGTTTTCTTGTGGAATAATGTGATTGTCGAGAAAGTAGGTGGACGTTGTAAATAAGAAGTATCCGTGTTTAACTTACACGGTGACATGTGAGAAACCTAAGTGAATTTTAGATGAACAACTTTCACGGTGCCAATATTAGCCTGGATACTAAGGTATGTCGCAATTAAGTTAGCTAACGTTACCCCGATTACTTTTGTTGTCTTTCTTTACTTTTTGTTGCATTGAACATAAAGGGTAAACGGGGTTAACGTTATAGCAAACCTAGTTAAATGCCAATGTAAATCCAGCGTGTCAGATTACTTTAACGTAACGTTACTTGAAAATGAATCGCCTGCTAGGATTAGGAGTAGCTAAGTAACGAAACCTTAATGTTTGTCAGGGCGTGGTAAGAAAAAATAATTAACGGGTAACGTTATAGCATCAAGTAGGTCTATCTGTGGGTCCACAGTACTACAGGGTACGCATACTAACGTTAAATGGCACACACCCTCAAACGGTCGCAGTTTGAACAGCAGACTGATGAAAATTTTGACTCAAGTAAAAGTGCAATTACTGCCATAAAAAAATTACTCAAGTTATAGTAAAAATTAACAGTTAGTGAATGCGGGCTAGAGATATTTACAAGTAGTTTTATACGTCCAAGTCTAAAGTCTTTGTTCAGGAGTCTGAGTCAAGTCTTTGGAATAATAAGTGTGACACCTGTGCATAAAGTGAGAAGTAGCCTCTGTGCAACATGGTAGGGACTAGAGAGTGCACTTTACTTGTTGATTATCTCCAATTTAGCTATTTCTGTTTAAACACAATTATTTGACTTTTAAAAGAAATCTACATAAAGTAATTGATAAATAAATAAAAAATATCACACTTGTTTGCTGCATAGCCTACTATTAATGCCTGTATCTGTTATTATTGTGATATGGACTTTTAACCAACCAACCTACATGCTTTCATATGAAGGGTGCTGCATATGATTTGCTTTCTTCAATAGCTCAGGGACCCAATTCAATATGATTATTCCTAAAGCATCCATGCGCATAGTTTTTACAGCGTAAGGAATTACTGTGGCAATAACATGCGAGCAGCCCATTGTTAAATGAAGTAGGGTAAGCCTACATATGGAGCAAGACTTCACACGTAAAGCCAAGCAGGATTTCTTTATCCACTTATTACAGTTGCTGGAAGAAGTAGGTGAACCCTTTGGAATTACCTGGATTTTTGCATAAATTGGTCATAAAATGTGATCTGGTTTTCATCTATGTCACAACAATAGACAAACACAGTCTGCTTAAACTAATACTACACAGTTATATGTTGTTATTGAACACACCGTGTAAACATTCACATTGCATGCTGGAAAACGTATGAAGCCTTGGATTAATAACTGGTTGACCTACTCCTTTGGCAGCAATAACTTCAAACAAACATTTCCTGTAGTTGCAGATCAAACCTGTGGCCTGTATTACGAAGCGGGGCGAAATGGCTTTTCCAGTTAATATCAGGAGTAACTTCGTGACGTCGGGTGTAACTTCCCGATTAAACCAAGGTGGATAGGTGTTACCCGAGGTCTGTTGCCATGGCAATTTACGCTGCATCTCTAAACTGCTCCGAGCAGGTTTTGTTCGTGGTTAACTCGAGGTTACCCTGAAAATGGACTACACACCACATCTGTACAGTGTTAATGATGAGAAGTAGGATATTATTACACACCACTTCATAAAATATGTTTAGATTTCATGATGATTTGTTCCACTGCGGTTGCAATGAAGTTCTGAACACAACAGCATTACGTTCAGACAGCGAGCCCAGCAGCCTCTGTAATTTTAGAGACGAATCTTAATTAATTAACGGGATAGTTTCTTAGATGTAGCCCATCTCTAGGCTATAATTGAATGAAATTAATGTTATAAAAAAATCACTCTGGTGTTTTCTTTTGAATACGCTCAATCCAAGGCAGTTTCTAAGGTGCATGACAGTGATTGTGGGCTAAACTCTCGAGTATTTCCTCACTGCTAAATCCGATTGCAAAGTTTAAAATAACTTTCCAATGCATGCATACTACACAGAAGAGGTGTGTGTGTGTGAGATGTTGCAGCCTTGCAAAATGATGTCTCTCATAAATATGTGATTATAATGAGAATATTTAAGTTTTTTACTTGTAGATTAATCTTGGAAATTAAATTTTCCCTGCTCTTTTTTTTTTTTTTCTGTTACAATGGACCTTATGTGCAGTTGTACCTTTACATCTTAATCATATTATACATTAAAGAGCCCATAAAATACATAAAAGAGATTTGAACTACAATAAGAACAGTACAAATTTACTTGCGCCATTGCGAAAAAACTCTGCTTACACGGCTGAACACACCCCTTTTATGCAAACGCACACCAACTCCAATTAAGTTAACACCGGGTTAACACAGTCTCAACTAACCAACATCTTATTCACCTTTGTAGTAACGTTTAACTCCAGTGTAGGCGGTCAGAGTTTTCCAACCCTGAGTTTGCCTGATAACCCAGAGTTAACTCTGAGTAGGTTGGACTCCTTTCGCAGTACAGGCCACTGAACAATGGTCAGGAAGAATTTTGGACCATTTCTCTTTATAAAACTGTATAAGACCTTCTGTTTCTGTGTTTTGGGTCATTGTCTTGTTGCATCACCTATCTTCTCTTGAGCTTCAATTGGCAGAAAGATGGCCGTACATGCTCCAGCAAAATTTCCATCTTTCCATGATGCCCCCTCCACCATACTTGGTACAGTTGGGATGAGGTTTTTGATGTTGGTGTGGTGTGCCTTTTTCCTCCACACATGGATGTGTGTTCCTTCCAAACAACTCAACTTTGGTTTTGTCTGTCCACAGAATATGTTGCCAGTAGCGGTGTGGAACATCCAGGTGCTCTTTTGCAAACTTCAGACATGTAGCAATGTTTTTTTTTTTTGGACAGCAGTGGCTTCCTCTGTTCTTTGGTGTCCTCTCATTAACTCCATTCTTGTTTTGTGTTGAGTCGCCAACAGAAACATGTTCTAGAGATTTCTGTAAGTCTTCAGCTGACACTCTGGGATTCTTCTTAACCTCACTGAGCCTTTTGCCCTGTGCTCGTGCAGTCATCTTTGCAGGACGGCCACTCCTAGGGAGAGTAGAAACAGTGCTGAGCTTTCTCTATTTATAGACAGTTTGTCTTCTGTGGACTGAAGGACATCAAGGCTTTTAGAGATACTTTCCCTTTCCAGCTTCATGCAAGTCAACAATTCTTAATCTTAGGTCTTTTGTGGGAGGCATGGTTCACATCAGGCAATGATTCATGAGAATAGCAAAATAAAAATTGGTGTGTGATTTTTATAGGGCAGGGTGTCTCCAACCAACACCTCTAATCATGTCTCATTGATTGGACTCCAGGTTGGCTGACTCCTGACTCCAATAAGCCTTTTAAAAAGTCATTAGCATAGGGGTTCACATACTTTTCCCACCCTACACTGTGAATGTTTACACAGTGTGTTCAATAAAAACATATAATTGTTAAGTTTAAGCAGACTGTAGATTGTAGATTGTCTATTGTTGTGACTTACTGTAGAGGAAGGTCAGATCACATTTTATGCAGAAATCCAGGTAATTCCTGTAAGGGAAAATAATTCCTTCTAAAAGAATACAGAGTCAAATAGATGTGTTGAATCATTTCTTTATGTAACGTGGCCACAGAGAGAGTGCACAGTTACTCAGCATTTCCTCTTCTTAAATACAGAACAAGTACAGAACACAACAGCCAATAGTAAACTACCAAGACAAGGGAAAACAAATGGCAGACTATTAGCATACACTCTAAAGCTTCTTCCTGGGCTGACAAAAGAATGCAAATGTATGTGGCATCAGAGTTGTGTCCCTACTTCTTGATTAGTCTATGTTAAAACTCTCACCTACGTGTCAGCAGACGTTTATTGTAAGTCAGACAACCCTTTGATTAGGAATAAAAACCCTGTGACCAGTGCTAATTTCTCACAAGTTAATTAGTGAAATCCTAAAAATCAGCAACTTATAATATATTTCTCATATTCGTAAGGGTTCACATACTTTTTCCAGCGACTGTATACTCTCTCCCTATGTTTCTCAAAAATGATTGTCCCTGAATAAATAACAACTAGCAGCCTACTGAGTGAAAGCCAAGGTCGGATATGAATGGCAAACGTAAAAAATTTAAAGTAGATTACTGGCCCAAAGAAATACATGAATAAAAAAAGAGTTGAGTAACAAAAAAATGGTAGTACTTGTTACAAGTAAAGCAGATGAGTAAAAAAAGTAGTTTTTTTTACTCATGTGCTTTACTTGTAACAAGTCTTATGCACCTAAACCACTTGGTTAGGTGTTTGCACCAAAACCACTTGGATAGCTTTAGGCACCAAAACTAAGTGGTTAGGGTTTGTGTTAAAATAGGTACATTATTTCAGGGACATGTAGTAAAGTGGGTGTAGTGTAGTGCAGATAAACCATTCTCTTTAACATTGTGACAGCAGCAACGCAGCAGCAGCAGATTCATTCTCCGCTTACTTATTATAGGCAGCTACTACAACAAATGTTGCTACATTAATTGCAGACAGTGGATTTCAGCATGTTTTTATGATGGTACACAAGGTAGTACATTGGTTCAGTTGCTAACTAGTGCAAGAAGCCTATAAAGTCCTCAGGGCATGCAAATATGTGCCACATCCATGATGTCCAAAACATTTTCCTTGAGGTTGCAACTGATTTCTCAATCTTAATTATGATGTGCTACTGTCATATCTTTTTTTTTTTTCTTCACAGTTTTGTGCCACTGCAAAGGATGATTTGCCTGGGTGTGTGGTGCGTGGGAGCTCGATGGAGTGTCCTTATAATGGTTTTCTGCAGCATACTGGTTCCATCACCCACACATGCCTATATCTATGCTGTAAGTAATCTTGGAGCTTTGGCTCATAGACTTTGATAAGACTTTAAGCTTTCCTCAATTCCTTCTGGAGATAATATCTTTTCTTATGAATGTATTGTTTTGGCAGCATTATAGCAATATGACCTCCATGTTGTTTGAGGACCTGCCTGCCTTGTTTGGCAACCCACTTCCTAAGGATGGACTAATGGTGAGAGCAGAGTGTTGGATACAGAGTGCATACAGAAAAACATAGGCAATAGTTCTTTTATAATGAAGTTTTTTTCGTTTTGTGAAAGGGTGTCTTGGTGGTGTCCCGTCCACTTAATGGCTGTACAACAATAGACTCTCCTCCTCCATTGCCAACATCTTATGATGCAAACACGACCAAATTCATCGCTCTCATCAGGCGCTATGATTGCAATTTTGACATAAAGGTCAGTAATGTTTGAGTGATATTGAACGCGCGGTAGTGTCTATGAAGCAAACTGTTCTAATGTGAAGAACTGGTTTTCAGATCTTGCATGCTCAGCAAGCTGGATACAGTGCTGCAATCGTTCACAACATGTATTCAGACACTCTGCTCAATATGAACTACAGCAACGGTAATGTTCTTTTTTGTTTTTTATGTGCGCGATATCAAACTTTACACACTTACACCATCTTACTAAATGCCTCAAATTTAAATCTTGTTGTTTTGGGTTTTTCCTTCAGACACTATCGCAGATGAGATTGAGATCCCCTCTGTGTTTACCAGCTACTATGCTTCCCGGATTCTCAAGAATTTCATAATTACAGAACAAGGGTAATTAAAAAGAAATTTATGAAGTCATTTTTACAAACTAAACAATAATTAAGACAAAACCAACCTTTAACAGTCCGCTTTAGAGTTACCCAGACCAATACATACTGACTTTTTCAGTGCTAGTGTTTATAATAATGAGTCCTCTTTTCTTGGCGTACAGGGCTTATGTGATCCTCAAGCCAGAGTTCGCTTTTCCACTCTCGTACTACCTTATTCCCTTCACCGGAGTAGTTGGCATGATCATTCTTGTGATGTGTGTCGTCTTCGTAAGTATGCATATGATGTAATGCCTCCTTGGGTGTTCATTCAGTATGTAGCACATTCTTTAATATACCCTTGAAATATTATATTTTTTTGAAATATACAAATTGTGCAATAATTATTTCCATACAATGTATCATCCAGGTCCCAAAGATAAGAGTATTTGGACAATTGGTGGAAATGCGAGGCTTGTAAAATGTGACCGTATGGTATTTTAAAGCTAGAGCCAGCTAATTTCCTGCATCTTTTTATCACCTGTTTTCCAAATCAGCTTCTTACTTACTTACTATGAGTGGCGGGGTCCTACATGAATACAAAACACAAACTCATCCAAGCAAGTTGAGTGTAGTGTAATTCTCATGGCATCGGTAATGTTTTATTTTTGTATTGTTCAGATTGTACGATGTGTACAGTACAGAAAACGGATAAGGAAAAATCGATTGTCCAAAGAACAACTGAAGCGAATTCCAACCCACAAGTTCCGTAAAGGTAACAAGATTATATTGTTTTTATTGGTACTATAATATGTTGTTTTTAATAATAATGATAATAAATTACAATGATAATGTTGCATGTGAATTTGAAGTCTATAAAGTTTTTTCTATCATCTGTGGAGCTTTTTACTTAAAGAACAGGTTCTTACGCTAAAACGTTAATAATTTGAAGGCAAGAAAATAGTTGAATCATTTAAATAGATAATATTTCTCTTCAGTTTGAATGGTTTATATTATTAACTTTTCTCCTCTGTTTCAGGTGATCACTATGATGTGTGTGCAATCTGTCTGGATGAGTATGAAGAAGGAGACAAGCTGCGAGTTTTACCTTGTTCACATGGTAAATATTTGATATGTGATTATTATGAAATTACCTATTTTTACCTATTAACTATTTGATAAAGAAGCTAAATAAATCTACACTTTCTTGCAAGTCAATATTTATACCTTTCTTCGAAAGTGATTAAACTGTGCATGAAACAACATTTTCCTTCTTCGTCTAAACTTGAAATGGCCAGGTCCTCCTGCGCTGCAGTGCCCGTTGCTAACTCACAAAAAGTCTTTGTCTGGGTCAGTGTAGACGTATTGAGGCAGTCAGTCATTAGTGCAAAGACATGATCCCTCACCAGCTACCAAATTCATGGTGGGTGATGACCCAGCCAAGCTAAAAGTTGCACAGTTGGATATGTCTACTGCCATGCCACCGGGACACCTCAAATCGGTGTGTGTTAAGCCTAGTTCACACTCAGTGCTCGCCAGTCGTTTGAGCTAATCAACGACCAGTGTTGGGCAAGTTACTCTGGAATTGTAATATGTTATTGTTGTCTAATTACTCCTTTAAAAAAGTAATACTATTACTTTACTTATTACTGGGTATTAAAAGTAACTAGTTACGTTACTTGTTACGTTACTATATTACTTTCACTACCCCTTGCCCCACCCCTTCCTAAAAAGTGACGGACAACATACAGTGGATCTAAAAAGTTAAAATGCCTGTTTTTGTGTGATTTTAAAAAATGGGACATTTTCCGCCTTTAATGTGTGAACATAGACTGTGACAAACTCACAGTAATAGCTAACAGTACTAACAGCTGTCGAAAGAACGCCTCTCTCCCTCGTTCTCCATTCATCCTTTAGCTTTTTGGCTAACCGCTGACTTGAACGACATAAGGTCCGGCTTCTCCACTTTAACTGCCCCTGACTTGCCGTGCAGTCATGCATTCACATAAAGGATTGTGTGTTCAGGTAAATCAGAAATGCAGCGTTACTTGGATTAGTAACTGTAATATTACTGTTTTGGAAATAGTGATCCTTTACACTACTAGTTACTGGGAAAATAATATAACTGTAACATGTTACTGCCCAACACTGTCAACGATGTCAAAGACACTCGTGGTCACATCACAGAGCCATCGGCGACGCCAGACAGATATCTAGCATGCTAATTATGAAACATGTTTTACTCACCTCCAACTCGGCCTGTAACACTCCCTACTGCCCATGTGTGCTAATCCATGCTTTCACCAATATACTTTCTTTTTAAAATGTTTATTTTTAAAATAATAAAACAACTCCTGTTTGGTTGGCGTGGTTTCATGTCATTTCCCGTGTCACATCTCGTATGTTTTTTGTTGTTTTGATGACAAAACATGGTTTGGAAAGCAGAAAGAGTCGTTGGGTGATAGAATTGCTTTCAGCTTGTTTACTGTGTGATGCCCTGTCGCCAACCAGTCATGTATAGTGAACGCCACAAAGACTTGAACACCCCTGTTACAAGACAGCACTTTGTGTAGTCTGAACAGCACAGTGACCTGCTGACATTGAAAGCCAACTGTAGGAACTGCACCTTTTAGTTTAGGCGGGATTAATACAGATAAATGTTTGCTCTAAACTATCAAACAGTTTTTATTCTCATGTAACAAACTTTATACTAGTGAGGTGTGCAGTGTAAGTACATGAAGTGAATATAATCACTAATGAAAGTCTTTCTGTTTGTTGCATATGATGTACCATGTTTTTTAATTCCCAATACATTACAGCCAAATGTCTTTAAATGCTATTTTCCTTTCAGCCTACCACTGTAAGTGTGTAGACCCGTGGCTCACACAGACCAAGAAGACATGTCCCGTTTGCAAACAACGTGTCAATCGGAACAACCAAGAGCACTCTGAGTCCGAGTCTGAAGAGGAAACTCGGGGACGTGGGGAGGAAGAAGGGACAGAGGGTGAGGCAGACTCGGAGCGCACGCCTCTGCTTCGGCCCTCCAACCCAGGGTCTCCCTCTGGGAGCCCAAGGGCCTATTCAGCCACCACCACCACTACTACTGCCCAGTGCCTCGCCTCCCCTGCACACTGCGACTCACCCATCCTGGTTTACGAAGGCTACAACTCCCCCCAGGAGGACACGGACTCAGAAAGCGATGATGCAGCAGAGGACAGGTACCACTCTGGCGATGACACTACTCAGCTTATTGGTAGGGATACGGTGGAGATCTGATGGCAAGAATTCTGCAGCAATAGAGAGAGAACGCAGTTTTAAATTAGTTTACAGAGTTGTGGTTAGCTAGACATTTATAGTAACAGAATCTTTACCCAGTAACCAGAGGAGGTCTACGTGTTGGTGTCAAAGCACATGCTGCACTTGGATCAGTTTTACCAAAATCCAGCCGTGAGCATTAACACACTTCTACACACACATTCGCTCCAGTACTCCCATATTTGTCTGTAGACCTCCTTTGTTTTTGAATGCATGTTGTAATTCATAACCTGACCACACCACATGACCTAACCACTAGTGCTGCACAAAATGAATGGGCCACTTTAATGTTTCTGTAATCTGATGTGGTGTACAAGAAAGAATGACTTCTGCGCATACACTTGTAGTGGATCTCCTAAGTTCCTGTGCAGTTTAAGTAAAATTAGTGCAGTTTTTGAAGACTGTTTGTCTTGATCATACTACTTCCCCCAGCTTTGAATTGTTTCCTAACAAGGATATGCAGGTGGAGGGGAAATCTTTGTCTTTATTTTACTTTTTAATCCCCCTCTCCAAGCTATATTTCAGTTCTTTGAAATGTCAGATTTTTCTGAGATTAAGCAGTAAATTGCGCTATAATAGAATATTGCAAAATGTTATACATTTCTACTGCTTTTACATTGTTATTGATAAGACTGTGTGGTCAGTTTAAGACAGTTATTTTTACTTTATGCAGTTTGTCAAGTTGAACAAACTCAGGATAATAGCAACTAATGAAAGGTCAGTTTGGTATTGTCAATAAATGGAGATTTGGTTTTATCAGTTGTTTAAGTTTTTTCTTTTTTTCTTTAAATCAACAAAATATAGATTGAATGAATATTTAATGTTTTTCCTTTTTTTGTCTTTTCTTTTTTTTCCTACACAACAGAATGATAACATGTTGAATTGTAGGATCTTGGAGGTGTTTTTAGGAAAAGGAGCGTTGCCTTACATTGGCCTTGATGTACATGTGTATGTAAAATTAAATTTTAGGACACTGAAGGGATAGGATTCACACTCCTTTAGGTTTCCTCTTGTCTAGCTGTATGTAATACTGCTGGTCAGAAAGCTTTGATCTTGTTCACTTGTCTAAAAATGCGCTCCACATTTGTTTTTATAGCAACAGACAAGAAAAAGAAATCCTGTTTAGTGCTAATAATGATGCAGACATGCTTGATTTGCACCTGAACTCTTGGAGAAGCTCAGCAGCTGTCAAACATGAAATGTTTTGTTTCTCTACTTTAGAAAATGAGCTGGGCGGGGTCCACGCTGTTGATTTCTATATAGAGCAGTACAAATGGACACCTTAAACTTTTGTTTCAGCCAAACTGCTCCAAATAAATTTACCTTGATCTGAGATCATAAATCTACAACTGGAATTTTTGTTTTTAATGTACAATAATAACCTTACAGGGTGTGGAACTTTGAAGTTCGGTCATCTGTAATAGAAATGAGTGCTCCTCCACATGTTTTAAGAAAGTATTGTATCAATTAAAACAACATGTCCTACTTAATAACAAACCTAACTTTTATCTATACTACATCAACACCACAACTGCATGATAACAGAGGAAATGCTATACACAATGCATACTGTGAGGAATTGTTTTCAGTAAGATGCATTTTGATGTGTATGAGTGTTAAAGATGGGAATCCGTAGGAGTGAACTCAAAACATTCCATCTTGATATTTTACTGATTACTGTTTAAAATGATTAAAAGGCTCCACTCCAATGTTTGTTTGGGACTTGATGGTAATATAGTCTGCATTGTAAAGTATAACAGCTGTTTTCCTAATTGCAGTATGCTTCAAATGTCTTTTTGTATTTAGAGACTGTTATGAAACAAAAGGTACAATATAATCCCCAAATTATTCATTTTTCCTTCTTTCCTTTTAGAATGTTCCTAGTTTATCACATTTGAGTTATACATATACAGTGTCAAGTATAATTTCCATGTATAAAGCAGGTTTGAGAATCTTTAGGATGTGTGAACACAGTCTGTGGAAAGCTGCTTTTACTTTGTGATTTGTGGAAGATTAAATGATATTGAAATGGGACTATTGTGACACTTTTTTTTTGTTAAGATGAGAAATGTAACACTTTTTCCTTACAATGGTTTATTGTCATACATGATCATTATTTTTAATAAACCAATATAAAGCAAATTGTTACCAAATGGGTAAATGTTATTAGCATAATGTTCTGTTATTTTTGTATATTCATAAATATAAAAGGGGTAGCGCGGTGGCCTCAGCAAGAAGGTCCTGGGTTTGAACCTTGGTCGTCCCAGGCCTTTCTGTGTGGAGTTTGCATGCTCTCTCTGGATGCTCTGGCTTCCTCCCACAGTCCAAAGACATGCTGGTGGGTTTATTGGTGACCCTGCATGGACAAGCGGTTATTGATAATGGATGGATAAATATTAAAGATGACATGACATAATGTTACAATTATAGAATAAAAAAACAAATAAATATATTTAATATTACACACTTGCCAAAGTAAACACCAAAACTAGGTGCATGTGTGTCACAGTGGACAGAAGTAAGCCATTTCCCGTTGGGTGCTGTAACAATATTAAGTGTGTCTTAAATGACTTCTTTAAACCCATGGATGGTCAGTACAACTGAGGTCAACAGCTACAGAACTGGAGCTCTTTCACCTGTTGAAGGGCTTTTTGACAGTATGAGCTGATGAGTGAATGGGCTCTCCAGTTTTGACAACTTGCCATGGAGAGGAAAAAAAATGTATTTTAAGTTTTCAGATGTAGTTTCACTCTCTTCTTCACCTTCTGGTTCCAGTGGGCTGAGCCATAACAGTGTAGGGGTGGTTTCATTAATAATAGCGAAAGGACTAAGCTTCTGTGAACGCATGGCTCCCCTAGGAAAGTGTTCTTTAATTAATGTATGGCCTTTGATCCTATTGACATGAGCTTCATAGTAACCAATTAGCCCAGAGCAGGGACACCCTGCTGAAGGTTCTTTTATTCTCAATGAATACGCCATTGGGGAAACAATGACAGCAAGCGAGCGCGCTCTCTCTCTCTCTCTCTCTCTCTCTCTCTCTCTCTCTCTCTCTCTCTCTCTCTCTCTCTCTCTCTCTCTCTCTCTCTCTCTCTCTCTGCGCGTGTGTGTGCGCGTGCAAAATATAATATAAGTAATATCTACTTTGGTTTAAACCAATACATTTAAATGTTACTGGTACAATGGCAGCATTTATAGATTGCAGTAAAATATCCGCATTGTTTTCCCCATTTTCATGAGTTTTTTGTAGTTGTTTGTCAATAAAATGTAAATAAATGGAGAACAAGAGCTTAGGCTATACGGCAATCTGTTTTAACATGTATTCCTATTATATCTATTAAAAAGTAGCCTACTTATTTAGTTGTTACTTGTAGCGATTTTTTAGTTACTGGTGACTAATTGCACTTTTATTCATTAAAATGTATGGGGCTCTGCAGTTCAGATTTCACATTTTCAATAGTTAACTAACTAGTCACCATTTCCATTTTTCTAGTCACTATTATTTAGCTATAGTAACTATTCCATTCTTATCAAAAAGACTGTTCAAATAGTTACTAGTAACGAATGAATGGATTATGTCTGAACTGCAGAGTCCCATAGAAGTTCTAAGGAATACATGTTAAAATGGTTCGCCATACTTATCAATACTTTCCGGAGCTGTTTAGCTGACATGATCTATGGTGGTTGCTGCCTTTCGGTGTAATGGTGACTCATTTAGGCTTTCCACAGGTGATGAATATAGTCCTATTTAATCCTTCCTAACAAGCTCCATGTCTTTTCACTGTTACCACTCCATGTGTCTTTAATTACATCACCTGCGGCTTGGAAGAAAAGACAATTCATATGTAAGCTGAATAAACCTTTTAAAACTCCAGATAGAAGACAGATGTGCGTAGGTTATAGACATTGGCGGGATTAAGGCATGTGTGGGACTATTGTGTGTTTCTTTAAGTTTGTTCCACACAAGCTGAGAAATAAATATAGTGGCTCTGAGCTATATGGACATGAATTGTAGTAGACGTGACATGAAATTACATAAATGAATGCTTGAAGCTAAAGAACATGTAACGGGTTATTCTTAATACTGAACCTCAAGTTTGCTTTCACTGTGCTGCGTTTGAAACCATTAGGGACTTTTGAACTGTCTCTGGATGCTGACCAGTGCAGCTGTAAGAAATGATGCCTGGATCACTGCTGCCATACTCTGCGCTGAGATTGTCTTTCTTGCTTTTCTTGACTGGATCTTTATTTGTGCTGTTGAATTTAAGAGAAACTCCTGAAGACCACAATGAGGTAAGGAACAGAATTTCTATATATACATGTAGATTTGAAAAATGGCTATTGGATTTTGCATCTGCTACCTGACATTCATCACTGAAAATTCGATCATAATGATCTATTAAATGTGCCATAACAACAATTTATCTTTTCACATGTATTGCTGAATATTTAAAATTGAGAAATATAATTTGTCTAAATCAAAATTAATCAAATAGAATAGAATAACGTTTAAAAGGTTGATAAAGGAGAAGTGAAAATTTATCTAAAGTACTTTCTCCACATTAATAATAAAATCTAGTTTAAGGAGGTTCATTTTATTCTTTCTGCTGTTAACCTCAATGGAAAATCAATATGCAATGTATCATAATCAATCAGTGACTCAATCAAACTGTGTGTGCATGTTTGTAGGGTTTTTGGGGAGGTTCTTACACGCCACACCTTATCTCCAGTCCTTTGGAAGCCAACGGTGGACCTGGAGAAGACTTTGCATTTGGATCCAGGGATGGCCATACCTTCCCGCAACAACTGGAATCTTCATTTATCATGGATGAAGAGCAGCCGACTCAAGTGTGGCCACGCGTAATCCTGGATTATATGAGGCACCAGTTAAGGTTCAGAGGAAGAACAAAGAAGAGTGTAAAAAAAGAATATACCTAGCGGTTAATTGGATAATGAAAGCTAAATAAAATAGCATAAGAGTTTAATAAAATATTGCTGGAATATCAAACCCTTTCACTGTCTTTTTTTTGCACTTCACCACAATACCACTCATCTGCTGTTAACAAGGCATTAGGAAGACATGATCAAAATAACCTGAATAACTCCAAACCAGTTGTTATAAATAATACAAGTCATACAATTGAAACCTGTTGGTAGAAATTTGTTTTGAAATTTGGCCCAGTCTACCACAATGGGAAAGAAATGTCAGCGATGAACACCTTAAAGAACATCTAAATTAAACAAAAGCTATGGACGTGCTGTTTTTTTTGTGTGTGTGTGACTTTAATTGAAGTGAATGTATCCTTTAACCTGACCTGTAAATATGGAAATAAATGGAAATGCTAAATTAAAACTAATTCTGGCTTGATTGACTAAGTGGAGTAAAAAATAATAATGCATTGTGATGACCATTTATTTTATGTCAGAAAAGTATCCGTCTTGCCTCCATGGTTGCTACAGAGTGGGCTTATGAATCCCATGGGTTGGTGCATGATATTTGTCTAAAATTAGCTTTTAACTGTCACGTAAAGCAACGTCCATTTCTGATGATGTAAATGCTCCGTATTTGTATAGCGCCTTTCTAGTCTTTTCGACCACTCAAAGCGCTTTTACACCACATCTGCATTCTCCAGTCACACACATTCATACACTGAGCCTAAGTGCTCAAACGGAAACTAACGTTCACACTCACTCATACACTGGCGGAATAGCCGCCAGGGGCAAATCGGGGTTCAGTATCTTGCCCAAGGACACTTCGACACGCAACCAGGGGGAGCCAGGGATTGAACCGCCGACCTTCCGATTAACGTCCAACCCGCTGTACCACCACAGCTGCCCTTATTGGCGCAGACAAAACGTATCAAAACGTTTTTTTCAACGGAAACGGTGCTCCCCTGAACACCCTGTTGTGTACGCAAGCGCACTGCATTTTCCTGCCTTTTTAACACCGTTGTGTTTACAAACTTTACACAGCTGACACGCCCACCAAGCAGGAGCAAACACACCTCGAAGCCCGTTGCAGAACGTTGCGCAACGTTTCAGGGAAACATACCGTTCAATCTGAAAACGTTGCAAACCGGTGCAAAACGTTTTGAGATTGAATTTGCCCCTGTTGAGATACTTTTGATGGAGTTTGTGTCTACATACATGTGGTTGGTTCTAATAAAGTCTCACAGTTATCAGTGCAGAGCAGCATGATTCTCTGTTACCTGTTTAACAAACACCTGCACATGAAAAATTATTTAGCCTACTGTATGTCCTGCAACACTAATATTATCTGCATTTATATTTATTGATTCTGATTGTAAATTCGTTATTGAATAACCCAGAATATGATCATGGTGTGGGGAAATTGAAATGATGTAGGCCTAACTTGTATCAAGGTTGACGCTTTCCGTTTATTTCCTGTTGTGATATCCTTTAACACTACTGGATACATTTTATTTGCAAGTCACATCACTCTTCACCAATCGATCACTACGTTCCATTATATCAATCAGACGCTTTTTTTTTTGCTTTCATGCATACTTTCATCAGCTGATTTTACTCGCGGAGCCGCCGGCTGCTTTCATCAGATGCTTTGTCCAACGAAGGTTAAAATGAAGGGCACCTGGACTTGGTTGAAAAAACTGGAAGACGTTTCGTCCCTCATCCAAAGGACTTCTTCAGTTCTGACTGACTGGCAGGGAAACTCAGCTATTTAACCTCAGTGGGGTCGTTGGCCCGGGTCATCGATACCGCTGGTTCGTTAGTGTTCCTTGTTGCTGTGACGACAGTCGTTACAGTCGTTAAGACTACCTGTGGCCAAGACTGAAGGACCATCGTTGGTATCTTCACCTGAGGCCAATAGGTTACGTTTGTTGAGTTTCCTGGGAAGTGATGAAAGGACAGCATTGTAAGTGGGGGATAAGTGGTGGCGTAGACCCCCTCCCCTGTTCAATGACGGCTTCTCGACCCTGGTGTAGATGGCTTCCTTGACACCTCTTTCAAACCATCCACCTTCTCTAAAATGTGCACCTGGTGGTCCTCAAACGAGT